ACACACACTGTGACACACACACACACACACACACACACACACACACACACACACACACACACACACACACACACACACACACATAAACAGAAAAGAGTAAACGCACAGAAGAACATGGAAGCACAATGAAAACAAAGCAGTCATGAAATCTCATACAAAAGACTAAACAGTCATGCCGAAATCGCATATAGAAGCCGAATATGAAATACATGCCGCATGGTACGAGTGTCGTCGACACTCCGTCACACTCGTACCGAGTCGTACGGACTCGTATAGCCAAGGGCCGCAGCCTACATCGGTAACTAACATATCCAGAAAGAAAACCGAAACAAACACGTACGTAATATGACGAGTCGCAATGAAGTCCCACCTCGAATAGAAACCCAAGACCAACACAAAAAAATGACACGCCGTACATGAACCAAAAACGTAAAACAAAAATGAACTCTCGAGGTCACTACCTCAATCTACCTGCATGCTAATGTCCATGAACTGGTCCTAAGTGCCTGAAACCTAACTTTATGTACATCATCCTAAACAATATACAGAATGGTCGACAAACAGAGATCGATGAATGACATATACGCGAGATGGAAGGGGAACGAAGCTGTCAAGACCATCGACCTCGCTTCCCCCTACCGCTGCCTCTCCGCCTCTCGCGACCCGAGCCGCCTGTCCGTGACACACCTCGTTGGCTCACCTCGGTCGCAGCGGATGGTCCTCGACTCCTCGTGCGGGGTCTCGTCTCACGAAACTCCTCCTGCCGTCTACCTGAACCACGCCGTGGTCGAGGGGAGGGCTCATCGTCGTCGTCGTCGTCCTCCTCCTCCTCGTCATCCCTCTCCTCCTCCCGACTCTCGTCGTCCTCTCTGTACTCGTCATCCTCATTCGGGTCCTCGTCACGTGCCGGCTCCGTCTCTGGATCGTCCTCCTCTACGATGACCCGCTCATCCCCCCTCCTCACGTGAACAAGCCTAGTACTCGCCCGAGTGACAGCCTCGACAGTCTTATCACGACGAGAACCCCGCGGCATCCCCAACCCCTCAGGTCCTAAAGACTCCCCCAATGCGGCACCACCCGCCGCAGGCACGAGACACGGACCAGAGTCACGATATGCTGCGCTCCTGCGCGAAGTCTGGTCACGCACAGCACGTGCTGCTGCTGCCAACGCGTGCTGTAAGGTGGACTCGGCCTCTACACCCCCATGAACATGTCGCGGCTGAGAAACTGCCGCCATGACCTCCCAAGCCGCACCCCTCCCGGTGCCACCCCCACCCAAACCTGGTTGGAGTCGTGCAGTGTGCACTGTTACTCGGCGAGTCGAGTCCAGGTCGATATCTGTCCTCCTGAATAACGTCGTGTCAAAAGGGAGAATCCCTACGCCTGTGGTGTCACGGACCCTCGGTCTGCCAGGCGTGGATGGTGAGCGGAGGTGTGCAAAAGCTGGTGTCGAGGGTGAATCACCGTGACGTGATCTCGGAGGAGGAGGCGGCATGCGTGGTCTCCGTGAGTATGTGTCCTCCTCCCGTATGACATTACGCACAGCAGCCCGTGCGAGCTCTGCCGCATCAAATGGGCAAGCAGTATCCTCAGGAGCTCGCCGCCCACTAACGGAAGTCTGAAGCGGTGGCTCTGATCCTAAATCCACCACTACGACCGGTGGTACCTCGTCACGTGCCACCTTCTCAGAACCTGAGCCAAGCACACATGGTCGAACTGGGCGTGTCGTCGTCGTCAGCTGCATGCCCACGAAGTGTACCAACGGACCGCTACCTCCCGGGATCTCTGCAGCGGCTGCATCGTCATGCTCCTCCTGAGGGTGCTCTCGCGCCGTGCTGAAGAGTGTCCCGTGTACGAATCCTGGAGGCTCCTGCGAATGCCTGCTCGATGTCCTCTGCGGAGTAACCAGCAGCCGCTAGGGCACGCGCTATATCCTCTATGTCTGCGCGACGACTCTGACGAGGGGTGGGAGGATCCCCGAAAGACATCTGAGCAAAATCCCGCATCTCATCGCCAACCGCCCTGCTCTCTCCTGATGACGACGCCCCCAGTGCCCTCATCGTGCCCGGGGTCAAACCCGATAGTGCGGGACCCACCTCATCAGCGATGAAACGCTCGACAGTCGGGTCAAGGGTGTCACTGCCCTCTCCTCTGTCATGGGCGACGCCACCCTCTACCACGGTGTCCTCTCCCTCAACCAGCGCAATACCATCTGCCCTGACCACGTCCTCCTGTCTCTCACCCTGCGCAGCATCGGAAGGCACTGCCACGCCCTCCTCTCTCCCAACCTGAGTAGTCACGACGTCCTCCTCTCTCTCTACCTGCGCACAATCATCCACCTCCACTCCCACCTCCGTCTCAACCTGCGCACGATCATCCACCTCCACTCCCGCCTCCCTCTCTACATGCGCACCATCATCCACCTCCACTCCCGCCTCCCTCTCAACCTGCGCACGATCATCCACCTCCACTCCCGCCTCCCTCTCAACCTGCGCACGATCATCCACCTCCACTCCTGCCTCCCTCTCAACCTACTCACCATCATCCACCT